CCCTATTCAATGTTTTTTCTGTTTCTTTCCAAATAAATCAGACGGAGGCCTTCCTAAAAAGACTTCTCAGTGTGCTTTGTGGGGGGAGTGTTCTTTTTGGAGGCGTGGTCTGCAGTGGGGTGCTGAATTCAACAATACGGAAATACATCGGCGATACCAAAAATACACGGGAAATTCCCGCTATACCTTCTTGAATCACCGTGACTCACTCATCCTGGGCCTTCATAGCACGACAGATGGGCCTAGACAGTGTAAATAATTCCGCGTGGCCACCCTCTCCAGACCCAGGCTTGGCCCTGTCAATCACAAGGGCTTATCCAGGACTCCAGGTCAACACTATCTGTTTACAGTGCTGGCGCCAACCACACGCTTCCAGACACATTGGCAAGCATCCCAGACATTAGCCTGATACATTTTCCAAAGGGGGAAAGGACTATTTTAGAGGGGAGTAGGTATTGCGTGCATTATCGTAATATAGCAGTGTTTTGTGCACAAACATATGGGAATGGATATGGACCCCCCCCATAGTTAGGTGGGGAAAAGTTAGAGAAAGTCACGGGAGATCGATCAAGTGATGCGTGGCAGTTAGTAGAACGATCAAATCACGTGATTTCTGAGACATTCTTGGCACAAGGTCCCACGTTGGACCTATGTCACGTGCTTTGTGTTTAAATTGAAAACATTTTCTAAAATATTACTTGATTTTTACTCTAGGATATATTTGTAATCGAAAGAAAGGGAAAATTACTGGGGCTGTAACTTAAAATAAATATTAAAAAATCAATAATACATCACACGATGGCGTCATCATAACGTCATTCTTCTATGCACATCTTAAGACAAGGGTCCTTCATTGATGTAAGTTTGATGAATGTCCGAAGTTAAAAGGGATTAAAGTCGGTAGTGGATGAAACGTGCACAAAACAAAGGGGACTTGGGGCAGAAGAAGAAAAGGCGGGAAAAAACGAACAAAAAGAATGTCTTTTTTGCAAATTGCAAAGCCCCCAAAATTCTGAAAAACAACAGCTAAAAATATCATGGTGCGAACAAGGAAATTTTACTGCACAAAGTATAGAACCGTTTGATATTCTGGTAATGCAAATTGACATTCTTCTACAGTGGGATCAACAGATTGATTTACAGCGGTTGTTTTTAGGGTAATTGTTTATTTTTATTATTTGTATTTAATATGTTTGTTATTACTATTTTCACGCTGTTGCAAAAACTATGGATTAGCAAATGAGTTATCAATCAGCCATTTTGTTGAGCTATACAAACAACTAGTACGCCAACCAGACCGAACGCAAGTTTCTGATTTCAAATGACGGCAACACTGGATCATCTTCAACTTTACTGGTTGGGGACCAGAAGTTCAGAGAATTCTCAAATTGAAAGGACGTCTTCATGAAGTCATTGGTTGAATTTCTTATTTTTTGAATAGTTATCACTTTCATTTTGACACTTTATCGCTTTGCTTTCACTGAATGCTCAGATTTAAAGCTGGCCTCTTAAGTTCACAATCAAGGATTTACAACGAGTTAACCTAGATAAAACATAAAGGCAAACATTGCGTGCCAAGACCAACGTGTTTACCGTTTTTCGTTCAAAAGCCTGCAAGCTTTGAATCACATACTTGCTAGAGTACTTTGTAAAAAAACCTGCCCTCCCAGTGACCGACTAGAACTGGAATCAGGTCCCAAGCATAATACAAATCGATACGTACATGACATTCTCAAAAACATAACGCTCGATACGTTTCGTGAGAAAGCCAACAATGATTTTTTTACATTTTAAATGAAGTGGAATGGCCTTGAATTGGTTATTTCATCGCTGGTGTACTTTGCTACTAACCCTGCCTTTTCAGTGTGTAAAATTGGCGCCCGATGCTCACTAGGAAGAAATAATGTGCAAGACCTCCTAACCACAGTGGGAGTGATTGGTATTTTACAGCCATAGCATGTAAAATATTGATCTTGACGTTCGTAAACAGTCTCCAATTAAAAAAAGAACCATTATGTGAACAAGGAAACGTGTACGTTTACTGCACAAAGTACAACATTTTTTATGCTAGTAAAGCAATTGACATCCTTCTACAGCCGGATTTACAGTGGATTTTCTTCAGAGTAGTTCATTTTGAGGCCGTTGTAAAAACTATGGATTAGCAACCAGAAGAGCTATTAATCAGCCATTTTGTGCAGCTCTATTAACAAGTAATATGCCAACCAAACCCAATGCAAGTTTACTGGGTGGGGACCAGAAGTCCAGAGAACGCTAAAACTGACACTTTATCGCTTATGCTTTAACTGCATGTTCAGATTTAAAGCTAGCCTCTCTGTAGTTCACCTTCAAGAATTTGCAATATGTTATCCTACATAATAACATAATGGCACATACTGGGTGCCAAGGCCAATGTGTTTACCCGTTTTTCGTTCAAAAGCCTGCCAGCTTTGAATCACTTTATTGTACTTTGTAATAAAAACTGCCCTCCCAGTGAGCGACTGGAGCTGGAATTTGATCCCAAGCATAATACATATCGATAAGTAGATGACATGCTTCAAAACGGAATGCACAATGTGTTTCGCAGGAAAGCAAACACTGATATGAAGTGGGATCACGTATGTTTACTTCCTCAACTTAGTTTTCTTTATTCTTTAGGGTTATGCACTGGGACAACAATGAGCTTTTGCGATGGAAACGAGACGTTCGATGGTTTATTTTGTGAGTTAGTGATCTTATTTAATTGTGGGGAGATGGACTTTTGGGCGACTGGATGCACTTTCTTAGCGTTTCTTAGGAAAAGTTTTTACAGTGCCGTTCCAGTCTGAGAGCTCCTGGGCGACTCCCTTTTTGGTCACGCTACCCTACTTGTGGTACCTGGGACCCGTAAAAATCAATGCATTCGAAACCTAGGATGTTATTTGTTTGATTTATTATCTCATGATTTACTGAATATTAATGAATATTGTAGCGAAAGAGCGACTTATTTTTGTTTAAAAGATAGGTCAATTTAGGGGAGTCCCCCAGTGAGTAATGTCACAGGGAGAGTCATGTGGACAGCGCGTACAGCGTTGTGATTGGCTGCATGCTGTCCAGCCGTGCCGTGTGCACGGTACGAGGGAGTGTGCACGTGGGCAGTGCAGTGAAGAGAAGCTATAAGGTAAGCAGTTTTTGTTTTTACTGAGTGGTGGTTATGTATGGTTGACTTAGGATAGCTGCATGCCGTGTACTTGTGAAAGATGCAAACGGAGCTCTTCTATGTATTAACACAGCCGCGAATCGAGGTCGGATTGTAAATCGAGGACGTCCTCAGTTCGCAATAAGGTCAAATTTGAGGCCGCAGTCAGCATTTATGAGGGTCAGCGAAATTTCAAGGCACTTGGAAGCCGTCCTCGGTGTACGCATTTAACACGCTGGGTGTTTAAAAACACCCGCTCTAAACGGACAGTTTTGGCGCAGCCCTGGATGGAATAGCGCCCTCTCTAGCTCTCTTGCTACCCTGTCCGATCCGGATTGCTGAGCACAATAAACGTAGCCAAGTGCAAGGGACGCATAACCCCAACAAATATAAAAGCCTCCAAACTGTCCAAAAGCATCATATCGTCACCTTTATCACGCCTGTGGATTTCTGTAGCCGTTCTGAGATGTAGGTGTCTTCGAGTGGAAAACATGGTGAGTAAAAACGATTTAACTTTATCAGTGAAAGCTGTCTGGAACTTGTCAGAGGCCTCTTTTGGCTGTCTTTGAAGTGTTATTTTTGTTGGGGGTGTTGTGGTGATGGTATGGCTTGGCTGGCGCGTGGCGAGAGCCCCCTTCAAATCGGGATAGCCTGGGAAAATGGCCCCGCCCCCCACGGTACTGTGATGTACTTTTTGTGGTTTTTGGTGGTTTGTAAGATCTGTAGAGGCTAGGGGACAACCACTGAAGCATTAATATACCTTTAGGACGGACTCAGGGCTCTGCAGCCCTGAAAAATGAAACGGACTCAACGGAATAGTCCGCTCCCGGACACGTGTGATTATAAATTCGACACGCCTCCCACGGTTAATTAGAAGTAGAATGTTGAGCATGACCAGACCCTATCTCGGTACGGTTCACTACATCCATGGCCCCAGTGCTGGCTAGTACCATGCTACTACTTAAAGCGTGGTTAAAGTGTGGCTGCTATCACCCCCCCCCCCATGTTGTCGATAGGCTAATGCAGATCTTATACTGCTGTTAGAAAGAATGTGCCAGTGGAATAGGTATACTTATGCTTTCTGAAAAGCTCAATAACATAATCCAGTTGAACAGGTTCCTGCAGCACATTTTTCCAGCCGCAAGTGAAGATTTTTCTGTTGTCAGTATGTGGTGGTTCTAGGCCTAATTGTGTTTAAAATGGGTTTTTTTGGGGGGTGGGTGGATGTGGCTCTTTGGAGCCCAGATACCTGGCGGTGTAATGAAAATAATGTTCAATCTGATTTCTTGCCAGCTGGCCCGTCCACCGTAAATGGAGACGTTTGGACAGTAGGGCTGAGTCGTCCACCGGTTCCAGCAGTAGGCCTACTGCATCCATTGCTCCAAGTGATGACACGTCTGACGTCCAGGAGAACTGTGGTGTGATCGTAATGCAAACCAGTAATGAGGTTGGCTGCAGGAAATGGGACAAGAAACATTTCTGCTTTTACTGCGATGTACCCCAGGCCAAGCTCCCGTATCGTCTTCAGTCATGTCACAAGGATGAAAGAGAAGTCGTCGAGATTGCCTGTGAGCCCAACGCTAGTGTCTGTAAGAAAATTCTGTTGAAAATTCGCAATATAGGTAATCACGGGAACAATTGTCAGGTTCTTCGTGAAGGTCGTGGTGTGCTCGTTGTCGGGTACAGGCCAAATCGCAAGGTATCTCCACATGCATATGGACCACGCGTATATTGTTACGGCTATTATGTGCGTACCGATTTGTGGCGACACGTGTGCCCTTCGAAGCCAGCACACCCTCCACAAACTGACAGCACCGGTAAGAGGGCTCGTGTGGGTAGACGGGTCGCTCACAAGAGTGATTTGTTGCTGTTGGCGTGTCGCTTCAGTTGCACCAGGTTCTTAGTCCAATGAAGAAAGGTGATGTGGCTATGGTAGTCAAGAATAACACGTTGATTGTTGAATTAGCCAAGCGTAAATACATGAAATTAGGGCACGATGTAGATCAGCATGGCTACATCCGTAACAGGGTACGTGAATTGGGTCGACTCGTCATACAACTCCGAGAGAACACCCAGCAACCAAATGCATCACTCGAATCATTTGTCGATCCGCACCACCTTTCTGATATTGTGAAGGCCGTGCACGATATTGCCGGCTTCAGGGAAGACAAACAGTTGTACGATACTCCGTTACTAGCGCTGAAGATTAGTTATTTTGTTAAGAAGTGTGCACTCGTCTTGGAAGGAAGTGCCCTAGAGTCCAGCCAAAAACACAAAGCGGAACGTGCGGAAGAGTTTCTGCAGTTGTGTGAATTGAACTGGCGAGACCTTGTGTCCATACACGCACACAGAACGCTGTACCAAGGAAAACGCAACAAAGTCACCATTCTTCCGACAAATGCTGATGTAGTCCACCTGTCGTCGTTCCTTCATGAAGCTGGCAACCGGGAACTTCAACTCCTCCGGGGTCCTCGGGGCAGAAATATCAGGCCAGCTTTGCAGAAATTGAATGAGGTCAGTCTGTGCCACCTCATCAGGTTCAACCGAAGAAGGCAGGGGGAGGTTTCAAAGATGAAACTTGAAGATTTCCACAAGCACAGCACCGCCAAACTGGAGGGGGAATGCCTGTTGAGTGATTTAGAGCGCCAGCTGTGCAAGATGTTCCGTGTTGTCGAAATAGTCGGCAAGAGAGGCAGAACTGTTCCCGTGCTCCTAAGCAATGAGGCAGTAGCGTGGTTGAGTGCCCTTGTCGCCAAGAGACATGAAGCTGGAGTAGCCCAAGACAACTTCTTGTTCGCACGGTTTTGTTATGGCGGGAGAGGCCACATACGAGGGAGTGGCTGTTTAAAGGCATATGCAGATAAGGCTGGCCTTGACAATGCATCCAGCATCCGGTCCACCAAACTCCGTAAACATGTAGCAACTGCATCGCAAATTCTTGTATTAAAGGAACATCAGCTTGAAACTCTAGCCAACTTCATGGGCCACGATCTGCCGGTACATCGCGAATACTACCAGTTGCCAGATACTGTACAGCGGGTCACCAAACTGTCGAGACTTTTCGTGAGTTTGGAGAGGGGCAGCCTGCCTTCCCAGTGGGGCAAATCCTTGGACGATCTGCATATAAATGGAGGTAAGGGCACCTTGTACTCAAACCATGTTTCCCATGTTCCATCTACCCAACGCTTGACTTCTAACCAAGTCAACCCAACCCAGCCTCCCACTTTGTAGGGCATCACACTCTGCCGGAAACATTACCTCTCTTCCTATACACCCCCCCCCGAAGAACAAACCAGTACAAAGAAAGACGGGGACCAAAAATCACCCCAATAAATGTATCTTGCGTCAAGAACCCCCAAAATAATGTTTCATTTAGGCTGTCTGCTGAGCTGTCACCTACATTTCTAATGTCCTTTTCTTGCCTCTACATTAATAAGACAGCTTCCTGGTGTTGCTGTTGCATCACAAAGAAGGGAACCCTCTCCGCCATCGACACGAGTGAAGCGCCGTCCCTGGACTACAGCGGAAAAGACAGACGTCCAAGAAGGCCTGCGCAAATTCTTCCAGTTGAGGAAAGTTCCCGGCAAGCTGGGCATCGAAGCAGCTTGCACTGTGGCACTGCAGGCCCGTACTTGGAGAAACATCAAAGACTTTTGTCGTAACACAATGAAGTTGTAGCCAAGTTAAGCTATGATACGCCACACCAGCCATTCTCTCGACACATTATACCATATTGATGACGAACCCTATAGTAGTAGGCCAATAACGCAACCTAATTTTAGCGGCCCAAACAACCAAGAACTTGTGTGTGTTTGTAGCGTTTTTCTCCCTTGTAAAAATAAGAACACTTGCATCTACAGTAGATCCCATGTACATTTTTCCCAGCAGTAGATTAGGAGCCTTTAACTTTTGACCCTGTAATGTCAAGCCTCCTAATTGATTTAAGAGCACTCCTACACAAGGACCCACTTTTATTGCTTTGGCCTTCTTACCACATTCCTCTGGCAGACTTCTGGTCTAGGATTTATTACTTTATAATTATATTTTAGTTAGATTTACCCTTGTTCTTCTGGCCTATGTTCCCAACCCTATTTTCACCACTTGGTCATTTTTAGCCAGTCTCATCACAACCACTCTCCAAGCAACATCTCTATGCACAGTACTCCCACTCTCTCTTGTACAAGCTGAAAATAGTTTAGAATAAAAGTTCCTTTCTCAAAAGTTAGTACCTGTTGTCAACATTGTTTCTTTCTTATACAACACTACTAAATGTTGTCCTCGGTGTTGTAGGCTGCACTCACATGGACGAGAAGTCCTCCGTCTGATAGTTGGGAAAGTATGCCCTCCATCTGCAGTGTGTACATGTATGTGTGCGTGTGTGGTTTACTACTGCTGCAGGTGTCTCTCTAGTTAACCCCATACATGTAGAACGTAAACCGAAAAAAAGCTGGGTCGGTCCCAATTCACCACTATTCACCTGAGCGGTGAACACCAACGCAGCTCTCGCCCCTCGGTATACGCTCACCAACTTTTGGTTGACACAACGCACCTGTGAAGCCTCTACTTCACGTGTGAAATATCTCGTTCCACGAACCAACGAAGAACGGACCACTTATTCTAACTACACGTGTGGTTGACTAGGTCGCCTCTACGAAGAACGAGCATTACTCTAGGTGTGGCTTACTACCTCTATTCCACGCACCAATGCGGAACGCAACAAAAATTACCTTGTTCCCCGCACCAACGAAGAACGCTACTAAGCCAAATATACACTTCCCGCTGGCAGTAACGTAGCGGTGACACTCAGCCCTTCTGGAAAGCCTAACCATTAACATGACATCTCCCGCCAGCAACTATAGCGGCCTCCTAGTCAACCATACCCATACACACAAATAAACCACACATGCATTCGAATTGGCTCCACTGCCTGTTCTACATTAGTATCGTAGTAAACCACACAGTACATGCAGTAAGTTGGTCAGCCTTGTGCAAGAGTTAGTCAACCACACATTGGATTGTAGTCAACTTTGCACTTGTGCTAGTCAACCATACGGCGAATTTAATAAGTCATTCTACACTGCCCTCTAGAGTTGTGATAACGGAATTCCATGAAAGACGACCGCGCATGCGCAGACAGATCGCAATCGCTACTTTGAGCAGACATTCAAACTTTTGATGAAGTCGGTAAACTAAAGGCTGCAGAAAAAGAACAGCGGGAGTACAGGCAATTTCGGGAATAT